CCTGCTATTTTTAGCATCACTCTTCCTAGGTGTTTGTTTCATGGGATCCACTTTAGTGATGGAGGTCCCTGATGGGAAAGGTGTGGAAGCCACCAACCCCCTAGCCCACACCCTGTTGCTAGCCCACCCTCGAAATGGCAGGGCTGCCCTGGTCAGATGCAAACCTGGAATTAGCGCGATTTTCAAAAGTGCTAGCGTAAGCGTACCCCTGTGGTTTCCAACTGCTCCTCTATCCCCACTCCCTCCCCATCTCCTCTTCAGCCCTAGCTAGGTACCAACACGTTAAACATTTCCTCCTGCGCTTCCAGCTGAGAGAACGAGGGGGACAGATGTGCCACAACTGTCACTTGGCATCTGCTTGGGGGACTTCATTTTTAGGTCCCCCAGGCTGGCACCTCAAGGGCATCCTGGGAGGAGGTGCTCTTTCTCCAAGGTGGGAGTCGATGCTCCTTAAAATCTTGGTGCCTTCGCTCTAAGTCCCCTGGTCCAGGCCCAGGCCTGTCACAGACCAGTCTGGTGAATTACGGAACACAGATGGTGGGGAGCTGGAACCATGCAGGCCCTTAGCATGAGAGGGCCCTTATGGGTCATCTGTTCAATGGCTTTATTCACAGATAAGAACATGGAGGCCCAGAGAAGGCAAGGGACTTGTTTGAGGCCACACAGCCCAGTGCATGTGACACTGGCTGTCCTGGGGCAGGCAGGAGTGAGAGGCTGGTCCTTGGTGTGGGCTGGCGGGTCTCCTTCAAGATCAAGATAGCCTTCATTGGAAGTGTCCACCAACAGATGCAGCCCCTCCCCCACTTTAGACAAACCTAAAGCGTGGACTTAGAGCGCTTCTAAGAAATGAAATCCTAGGAGAGATACTTCACTTTACAGAAAGGCATGCTTTCAGAATTAGTCCTTTGAACAATGTTCCCCCTGAGAGCACTGCAAGCATGCTTTAATTTACACAAGTTCAAGTTTCACACCCTCTTAGGAACACCTTTATTATGTAAAGCAAAGTATGGGTAACGCACAGGATCCTGCACACTAGCTTGGAAATGAGTGAATGGGCCTGGCCCTCCAGCTCTGCCTGCAGGGGGTGGAGCTCTGAGCTGTCCGTGTACGATTTACAATAAGCTAAAATACACTACAAGTCGAAGTCGATTTTCCTATGTCTGTTCATTATAGTATGTGAAGGAGATTTCAGAAATTCCTGTCAGTTGACTTGAAAACTTGAATTGAACAAGAGACAAGGGACTCAGAGGCCCCCCTGCCTGGCCCTGCTTGGTGCTGAGAGGCTTGGTGCTGAGAGGCTTGGAGCCTCAGCTCACATTTCTGTGGCATCATTCTAGGCTCTTTCTGTCCATGGAAAGTGGCATGGGAAGGGTTTGGGTTGAGAACCCCCCTCGAATTAATTGGCATTTCAATCAATTTGGTTTCCTAAAGTTTCCAGTGCCTGGGATCCCCTGACTCAGACAAAGTTCCCAGAAGGTATTTCTTTCCTAATCATTCCTACTGGGTCTATTCTTGTTTCTAAGAAAGGCCACAGTTTCAGAACTCACTTGTGTGTGTGGTGTGTGTGTCCAGCCCATGGCATACCTGAACATCCCTTGGGTGTGAGAAGCTATCTCTATTTCACAAGCGTTCGGAAGTGACAGAAGCCGTCACTTAGGGCTGGGACCCAAGACCCAAGAGCCAGTGGGCTCCTGTGCACCCTGGGCCTGAGACCGTGCAGATGGATGACTCCCACAACCCTGAGGGGTGGGGCGCTGCTCTTCCCTTGTCACAGGGAGGTTTAGCACATGCTCCAGGGCACACGGCATGCCTCTCCTGCCCCAGGGCCACCGTCCTGCAGAGCTGGGTTCCTCTGGGCCTCCATGTCTCAAAGCCCTTCAGATTGAGACAGTAGACAGCCCCTGAGCTCCCATCCTAATCCTCCAGGCCCACTAGCTTCCTGTCACCCAGTGCTTCTCAATTGGTGGTGACTTTGCCCCCTCAGGGGATATTAGCAATGTCTAGAGACATTTTTGGCGGTCACGACTAGGGGTCTGCTATGACATCTAGCAGGTGGAGACCAGAGATGCTGCTAAACATCCTAGAATGCACGAGATGGCCCACAACAAAAAATTACCCTTCCCCAGATGTCAACAGTGCCGAGGGTGAGAACCCTCTTGTCCACCATCTCCTGGGGGTTGCCAGCGGTTTAGGCCCCTGGATCCCAGAGCTCCCCTGCCTGGCCAGGCACAGCCTTCTCTTCATAATCCCCCAAGCTGAACATGCACCTATATCCGCCCCTCCTGGGAGGAGCTGCGCAACACAGGACACCTGCATGGGGCACTGAGGGAGGAGTATGGGCTGGCAGGGTCTCTTGTGGTGGTCTCTATCCCTATGCTTTGCGAGGTCATAGAGCTGGAAGGTTTCCGCTGTGCCAAACCTCCACTATCTATGAGGAGACGGCCTAACAGGGGAACTGATTTCGAGTTACCCTGAGTCACAGACATGGAACCCAGCTCTCCTGCTCCCGGCCTGCCCCCATGCTTCCAGGCCTCACTACTGGCCACCCTCAAGGAGCAGAGGCTCCCTTGGTCTCCCACGAGTATTGGGAGAACTAGTCATGGCTCCTGAGTCATCCCCTTGACTTTTGCCTGATGTCAAAATGAAACCACGAACCCAAAGCCAGGGATGGAGTGGGAGGAGTGAGAAACCTCCAGCAAATTCCAGGGGCATAATGTCACATGGCCACTCTGGCTTGACACTGACAGCCCCTTGGCATGTGGACACATGTCCGTCCAGACAGCCTTGAACTTTGAAAGCAAAGTCCCATACCTGCTCCGTGTGGGGGTCCACACCAGACCCAGCAGGGTCCCCAAGGATGAGACCTCTGACCTCAGACCAGGCCTGTGGCTGTAACATGGAGTGTCGGATGTTTAAACCTTCCTGAAGTTTTTGCAGCAAGTTTCGCCTGTGATCTCTAGGGCTCTCTCGGGATCTTTTGCCCCATTTGCCAGATGAGGAAACTGAGGCTGGAGAAGGCAGGGAACCCTGTCCTAAGGGCATGGGTGTTAGTGGTAGAGCCCATCTGAGTGCTGCCTGTCTGCTCCTCTGCTTGCCACTGGCCTCCCACAGAGTCCATGGTGAGGACATGGCAGGCAGTGCCTGCCTGAGCCCTGGGGCACACTTCCAGCCTCACAGATATGCCTCCAGGGTGGCACTCCTCCTTCTTGCCAGGGTCCTGGCTGGTTAATGGGGCATGTGGATTTGGTGGTTCTGATGTCCTGTCCCATTAAGATGCATTTTAGTACAGGTGACAGCAAATACAGAAGTACACAGAACCTGAGACCTCTCCAGGAACTGGTAACCTGGCCCATCGGAACTAATTATCTGTGCAGTGTCCCTTATTTTCTAGAAAGTGGGCTCCAGGGAACCTAAATTAGAAACACGAAGTCAGTAGAATTCATCAGTTAGTCTGTGAACTCAGGAAGCCTGGCAAAGGCAGGCTCGGCCTTCGTTCCCCACTGTGTTCTACCAGCTGTGTGTCCTTGGGCAAGTCAGCAACCTCTCTGAGTTCTTGCCTGTTCATCTGGGAGTTGGCAATAGTGATGTTCACCACTCAGGGAGGATTTAAGAGGCGGGAGGGCAGAGCCGGCCCCTGAGGTATAGTGGGACAGCCCCGGCATTGCCTGAGAGTGGCTGGGGCCTCTGAGGGTTTGGAGCACTGGGATATAATAACAGTATTCTAGGGAGGAGGATCTGTGGTCCCACGGACACAAGGGCCCTTAATGCCCAGTGCCTGTTCCTGCGGCAGACCCACTTTGGCCCTGACACTCCCTACACCCCTCAGGCACCCAGGCCAGGGTCTAGGGCCTCAGAAACAAAACAAAACAAAACAAAACAAAACAAAACAAAACAAAACAAAACAACAAACAAAAAATATACAGGCTCTGGAGTACAGAAAGGAAAGTACAAAATGGAAATGAGTATATCTTTATCTACAAGGCATGACATTAGCTTTACTGCTCAACTGCCACTCAGCTCCTCAGTGGTCATGTGTAACACCTGCGGTGCATTTTCGGGGTCTGCTGTGATGGGGGTGGGGCTCACCCAGGAAAAGGGGTACATGGGGGGAGGGTGAGAACGGAGTGAGAGGGGGTCAGGAGAAAAAGAGAAAGAGAGGAGGGTAAGGGGAGAGGTGAGGAAGGGGTTGAGGAGGAGAGGCGGGAGGGAGGGGGGAGCCTGAGAGTGGCCGGTGGGTGGGGCTGGAGCGGGAACCTCTTTCCAAGGAGACATTCCAGACTGACGGTGGCGCATGACTCAGCGCCCTAAGCGAGGTTGTTTCTGCCCTTGTCTTCCTGTCTTCCAAATGGCCCCATTCGTGAGCAAAAAGAGGGTGAGGAAAAGGGTGCTCGTTCCAAGGAGGCTGTCACACACAGACACAGGCATAGGCGCGCCCTCCTGCCGTGTGCCGTGCTCACACGCACGGGCCAGCCCAGGCTAGGGGACCCGTAGCCTGGCAGAGGGTCAGAGTGTGCAGGACTTCGGGAGGCAGACCTTTCCCAGGACTGACAGCCTACTTCCTCCTCTCCTCATGATGCCAGCTCCTCAACCTCCAGGAAGCCCTCCCTGCCAGCACAGTGGCTCAGGTCTCCTGTGTTTCCTGAGCTCCTCCCAGCACGGCCAGCAGGCAGCTGGTGGCCC